AAGAAGGGAGAAATCCTGAGGGCTGAGTAAGGCAGGGAAAGCTTCTCGGAGGAGGTGGGATTTGACCAGGGCTTGCGTCTCGTAGCTATTCCCAGTGATTCCATTATGTGTATGACACTGTTTCTGGGGAGGCAGTGTGATATAGTGGAATTTATGTAGTATGGTGAGGATTTGGAATTCATACAGACTTTGGTTGCATCCTACTTTTTCTATCCTCTTGCTGTGTTTTCTGGGTCCATTTCTGAACTCAAGTTTCCTCATCTTTAGAATGTTGATTATATCCTTTACTTTATAGAGTTGCTATGACAATTAAGATGGACCAATGAATCTAAAAGAGACAAGTTTGATTCTCAGCATATGGCAGGAATTCAATAATGAGTAGCTCTCATTTTATTAGACTCCAGGATTAGATTTTTTATTTTATTGACCATATTCTTATCTATTGAAGGCTTTTCTGGAGCATTATTAAAGGTTGGAATTCACTGGAGTCCTTCCTCAGCCTTGAGAGAATGGGCCACGCACACTTCCTCATGTAGAACAGGGATCCAGGAGATCCTGGGGAAAATAGAGCCTTCACCCTGACGCTTCTTGAAGGTCTGGAAATAGTGCTATTTCTCATGAGACAGGTTTTTAAAAGAGCATCAATCATCTTTCCTGCTGATTTACCTGGTATCATATACCACGGCAACATCACCAGGTTTAAGTGGATGACCTCATTGGTGAGCCCTTCATACTTCCCAAAGTCAAATCTCAATTTTCAATTTTTCATAACTTTAACTTTCAAAAGGAGAGAACAGAACTGAGACCACCAGAGGTAGGAAGGGGAGGAATTAGTGAGAAACTGGTAAAGGGCCACAAAAAGTTATTTCATTGTGTAATGTTGAATATGCTAACTATCCTGATTTGAGCATCACATATTGCACACAGGTATAGATATTCAACATTGTATGTCACAGATATGTACAGTCAATTATGTTTCAATAAATGATAGAAAAGAAGATTATACACCATGATCAGGTGGTATTTATCTCAGGGATGCAAGGATGATCAACCTCTGCAAACCAATAAACAGGATGTATCACACCAACAGAAGCACTTTAAAGTTTTCAATTAAAATAGTTACTATTAGGGGCCGGCCCGGCGGCGCACTGCTACAGTGCGCCGCTTGGGAGCGTGGCGGTGCTCCCGCCGAGGGTTCGGATTCCACATACAGACCGGTCCCTGCTCACTGGCTGAGCGAGGTGCGGGTGCGACACCGAGGGTTGCGATCCCGTTGCCGGTCCCAGTCTGGTACGGGCGCGACACTGAGGGTTGCAATCCGTTGCCGGACACGAAAAAAGACAAAAAGAAAAAAAAAAAAAAATAGTTACTATTAGGGCCGGCCTGGTGGTGCACTGCTACAGTGCGCCGCTTGGGAGTGCGGCAGCGCTCCCGCCGAGGGTTCAGATCCCACATACAGACCGGTTCCCGCTCACTGGCTGAGCGAGGTGCGGGTGCGACACCGAGGGTTGCGATCCCGTTGCCGGTCCCGGTCCGGTACGGGTGCGACACTGAGGGTTGCGATCCGTTGCCGGACACGAAAAAAAAAAAATAGTTACTATTATTAATCATTATCTCTCTTCTTGCCAATAAAAACAACAGCTAACTATACAAAAAAAATTTTTTTTCATAACTTCATAGCAACCCAGTATGTAGGATAATTCTAATTTTCACATGAGAAAACTGAGATCCATAAAGGTTGAATAACTCATTCAATGTTCCATAGTAGAGTCAGAACTGGAACTTGGATTTTGGTGCCTTGAGTGATAGTCCTAAACTTCTAGGCTAAATTTAAACTTCTCTTTGGCAGTGGTATGCCCAGAATGGGGGCGGTGGGGGGAGTGGTCTGCCCCAGCTTGGGAAAGTCATCTTATCACTGCCATTGTTTAAAATTGTCACTACATGGTGACAGTAAAACAGACCAACTTCTTGCCAGCTTTATCACTGTTTTAAAATTATCTATAGACAATGCAACTCTATTGTCTGTACGAGAGGCTGATGGCTCCTACCACCCACCCTGGGTATGCCATGGCTCTGGTTCCATTCAAAAAGAAAAGTTCCATTTGAAGGGAGGAATTTTTATTTCTAAGTAGAGGTGACTTGAGGTCAACAGAAAATGGGATGATATATTTGAGGCTACATGTATTGTAGCTGTAATTTCTCTTGACTCAAGGTACCGAGCATAAGGTTAATAATTACAGCAACATTAGTTACCATAATTAAAGCTTACAATATATAGACATGACAAAAGTGTGTACTCTATGAGGCAAGTATTAGCATTTCAATTGTATAGCAGAAACTGAAGCTAAGAAAGATTAATTAATGTGTCCAAGATTACAGTTCCTCAGTGGCAAATGTAAGATTTGACCCAGTTTTAGTCTGCCTCCAAAAGCTGCACTCTATTACTACCACTCCCTATCTGTCCACCAACATTTGCACAGCCTCTAAAGTATTAAAAATGCTAATATTGCAGAGGAGGCATATCAACGAGGCTTCCCAGGGCCACCATTTTAGAGGCTGTGCCCTGCATAAAAGTGCCTGGCTGAGGAGGGAAGCTGGGCTGAAATAAGCCCAAGGTTGGTGTTTTCTAATTTGCATAGAGGTGCCGTGCATGGGACCACCAGTGGCTGCATCTTCAGGAATCACATCAGCCTGTGGCCTTTTGTTTTCTGTCTATTATCTGAGCACAATTTGCCAATTTCCTGGAAGTGGCTCTGCCTGAAGCAACCTTCCTGGCCCTTAGGTCTAGAGTTTACAATCACCTGTAGCCCACGTGAAATGCCCAGTTGTTCACTCTCCTGTTTTGACTGTTACCAGGAATGTGACCAGCATTCCCTCAGAAGCTCATCATTCTGATAATTAGACATAAGACCACTACCAACCCGTATGGCAAATCCTGGGTCCTCCTTAATGGGTATAGCTACAATAAAAAGGTTGATTTGAAGGCCTGGGATTTGAGAGCCAAGACAATCTGTATCTCTATATTACTCTTTGGAAAACAGGAGCAGGAAATTTTTTCAATGTCTCTTGGGAGTATGCTTCAGAATTGGGGGCTTCTTTTCAGTCTGCTACAATTATAGTCACAATAGCTTATAAATGTTTGTTGAGTGAATGGCATTTAAATTTACACTAAAGTATTTATCCCAATAACTCAGTCTGGCTCGTATGCAAGTTTAGCACTTACTCCAAGGAGTCAGACAATTTTGGATTTTCTATTTCCATCTCTGCTACAGCCTTTTGATGTGACATTGAGCAAGTCTTCATCTCTAGCATGCAGATAAAATGATGGACTGAGTAATCTCTAAGTCCCTTCATGCTGGTACAGAGCTCTTTTAATCAAGCATGTTCATAACGTAGTAACACATTTCATTTTATAGCTGAAAGGGGGTTAATGATCCTCTGCTTCACTCTTCTTATTTGACAGATGCTCTTTATGAAGAAGACAGGCAGGCATTATTAACCCATTTTACACATTAAAATACTAAGGCCTAAGGTCATGAGTCATTTGCTCAAAAGGTGGTGAATTCCTCCTCCACCACACTCTCAACTAGAGAAAGGAGAGAGGGAAAAGGGGAAAGAATCATTTATTGTATTTCATTAATAGTATAATTCTTTAAGCTCTGGCTTAGGGTCCTTTAGTAAATGGTAAAATTAAGAGCATGCTTCTACAGATTACCTGCTTGAGATTTTTCTTCCATAAGCCTTGCTAATTAAAAAAATACCATAAATGTTCTAATTAAGCCATTGGCATTTCTTTTCAATAATTGCAAATGGACTTAAATAGTCATGTTAAAGGACACCGTTGTATTTACTCTAAAATGTAACTCATTGTGACTCTGACGTTAATACTAATTTGTAGAATTAGGTACATGGAGAATAAACTAAATTCATGGGACAAATGGGGAATCTGAAATCTCTCTTCTAAAATACAGGGTCTATCAGAACATATAGGAAGTGAAGCAAACTAGCAGGACCCTCCAACTTAACACATTCCGTGGCATCTGGACCCGCGGTGAGGGAAAACAGGCTCCCTAGTCAACTTCGCACTTCCTCTATACATTTCAAAAAACAAGGTGTGACTCAGCAGCTGATTTTTAAAAGGGCCTTCAGAAGGCTAGATGCCAGGTATCCTGCAAACTCCCTGGCTTAAAGTTTTCTGTTTCCCAGTGTCTGTTTGCTATAGGGAATCCAAATCTGTTCAGTTAAAGCAAGGGCTATATGCTTCTTGAATGGTATTTCCTGCTCATTAAAGCTCTGGGCTTACTGGAGCTGCTGGCCTTTGTCTTTCTGAGTGTAGGCATGTTTGGAGCATATCTATATTTTACAAAACCCAGGGAAATTTGCTCACTGGAAGGAAAGACGGAAACTGGCATCCACTATGTGCCCTGGGAAATAAGAGCTGTTATTGTTTGCATTTCACATATGAAAGAGTCAAAGCTCTGAGGGGTTAGCTTGTCCCTAGACCCTGCTGCTTTTCCCACAATATACCCCATCTACTCTGAAATATCTAGGAGGTCTTGCTGGGGGGGATGGAGGCCCTTTGGGGGCACTTTGTTCCTCTCCACCAGACCCCTCGGCCACCCCTCCTTGCTGCAGATGCCCCCAGTTTGTTTTCTTTGGCTCCCTCATTAATGAGTTCCACAGGACAACGCTAAGTCTAGTTATGCAGCCTTAATTGGTTTAGTTACAACAAGATAATTCCTTTTTTCTTCTCTTGGAGGCCTTTCTGTTTAAAGACATTTTAGCTGGAAGATGCTAATTATCAATGAGGAAAAAGTGACACCTGAAGAGTTCATTTTCCATCTTGGTCCTTGGTTTTTCCTTTGAACTCCCTTTACCCGGCCCTCTTCCCACTTCAGCGCTTCTCCCCCACCATCATAAAAGAGAGCTCTTCCCTGGCCAGGCGGCAGAACTTCTTCTCACTTGCAGGGAGTCGTTCCCTCTGCAGCTGTCTTGCAGGCATGGACAACCTGCGCGAGACCTTCCTCAGCCTTGAGGATGGCTTGGGCTCCTCCGACAGCCCTGGCCTGCTGTCGTCCTGGGATTGGAAAAACAGGGCAGGGCCTTTTGAGCTGAACCAGGCCTCCCCGACGCAGAGCCTTTCCCCGGCTCCATCACTGGAGTCCTACTCTTCTTCGCCCTGCCCAGCCCTGGCAGGGCTGCCCTGTGTGCATGGCAGGGCCGACAGTGGCAGCAGCCATGGGGCCAGTGGCCTGGTAGAGATGGACTATAATGTGTTAGCTTTCCAGCCTGCCTACCTACAGAGCTCTGGTGATGCCAAGGCCCAGAAGGGCACCAAAGTCAGGATGTCTGTCCAGAGGAGGCGGAAGGCCAGTGAGAGGGAGAAGCTCAGGATGAGGACCTTGGCAGATGCCCTGCACACTCTCCGGAATTACTTGCCGCCTGTCTACAGCCAGAGAGGCCAGCCGCTCACCAAGATCCAGACACTCAAGTATACCATCAAGTACATCGGGGAGCTCACAGACCTCCTCAACCATGGCAGAGAGCCCAGAGCCCAGAGTGCATGAGCTCCGCCCAGGGAATCTGACCTATTCCAGCCCCCAAGGAAGTAGAGGAGAGTTAAAAACCTGGAATATCTCGTGGGACAACAGCACAGTTATTTTTATATAGTTCGTGTGGTCACCTCCTGATCTGAAAAGTTCTAAGGGGATTCCCATCTGATCTGTTGGAAACGCCTGAACACTTAACCTGCCAGACAAGCAGATACTTTTGCTCCAATTTTTCCCACCATGTCTCAGGAGACTCATCCTTTGCAAAGTGATTACTTTGCCCTTCACTGTCTGTTCAAGGTATTCTAAAAGGTCAATGATTTTAAATGCATTCTTTTTTCAATAATGTAAAATTGTTACACTTAATCTTCTCTTGCCATTTTGGTGTTAGGAGCTTTCTTTCTGTTGCTATCTAAACCTGTATTTCATACAGGATCCAGTGTGACACCTGGATTCTTATTAGAAAGATTTGTGCCAAGTAAAGGGCGATAATGCTCCTGTTTCGTTGTCTGTGTTTGTGTGGGTGTGTTTGAAATCATTACTTTTGCAGGGACCAAAATCACTTAAATGCAGAAGGAGTTGGTGTCATGGTAAATAGAAAGTCACAGGCAGACAGGCTAAGTTAAGACAGAGTGAAGATCCTAATGACCACAGCCTCCTCTCTTAAAGCAAGGGAAAGAAGGCTGCATACACGACTGGACGGCTTGTGTGACAGGGAATGAGGGTATAGGAAGGAAGAGGAGGACAGAGCACCACAGGGTGGGCCTGAAGCAGGGCAGAGAGGGCAGGAGCTGCCTGTCCCAGGCATATAAATATGACCTCATTTAACATCTTCACGTATTCATTTCTCAAATGAAGATATTGGCTCCAAAAAGTAGACTATTTGAAGTTCGTATATAATAAGTGAAAAGAGCCAGGATTAGAACACAAGTCTGTCTCTAACCCCTCCCAAGGCATTTACTTCTTCATCCACAAATCTTCCCCTTCTGTCTACCCACCTCCCCTTCGTTCAAATAACCCCACATGCACCATTCTCAAAGACACACACCCTCTTCCAGGTGCCTTGTCTTGGGGTGAATATCTGTACCATCCTCCATTGGGCTAATTTGAATGGCACAGGACTTTGAAAAGGGGGCTTTGAATTAAGGAGGTTCACAAAAACTTGTGGTCTTTTTTAAGACCAAATTTTTCTCCCTATGGTTGTTAACCATTAGTATTTGTTTTTGATGAACTGTCTGTTCATGTCTCCTGTCATTCTTTTTCTATTGTTGATTTTTCTTTTTTTTTTTTAGTGACATAAATTACAGAGGCAGTAGATGTGTTTACAATTTCATGTATAATTTCAACACATTTTTTCCTTGGCTGATACCAATACCCTAATAAATATGAATCATATATAAATTCTTGAGAATACCTTTAATTCTACAAATTCCTGGGGTTTTTTTTAAACTTCGAAATCTGTAGTAAAAATCCTTCCAAAGTAACACAAGTAAATGTGTGATGTAAGTTCATTATTATCTAGATTTTATTGAAAATTGATGCATGACCTGCCCAGAATGACATATGTGAAAAACAAGTTTTAACAATGTTCCATGATACAAGTTCTGCATTCTCTAATGAGTCACCACTTGAATAGTATTTCCAGTTTTTTGTTACAAAAAAAAAAAAAGCTATAACAAATATTATAGACAACTAGCTTTGTCCACTGATATTTTAATTAGCCTGAAAATTCCTGGAAATGGGATTCCTAGGTCAGGGTGTAAATTTTAACTAATACTGTTGGATTGCTTTCATAAAAGTCTGTAGTTATTTACATTCCCTCTAATATTTTGTGACAGAACAAGTGTTTCTGCATTGCCACTGGATATTATCAATCTTATAAACTTTTAATGGATAAAAAACATTGTCATTAATTTTAATTTCCCTATTATTTGAGATGGAGCATTTTAAGAAAATGTTATGTGACTATTGTTCATTTTTGTTCCTTTTCTATAACTTACTAGTTTATGTTCTTTGCCATTTTTTTCTGTTGGGTTGTCTTCTTGTTAATTTGAGAGAGGTCTTTGTATGTTATATGCATTGAAATATTTCCATCCAAACCATTTTATTATTTTTTATGGTGTCTTTTTATAATTTTGATTATGGTATCTTCTGCTTTTTGAGGTTTTTCATTTTTATATGATCAAATCTATCTTTTCTTGTATGGCTTATGTGCTTTTTCCTTTTGATTAATTTTTCTCAGTTCCAAGGTTGTCTAAATGTTCTCCTGATTTTTTCAAATATTTCTACAGTTGTATTATTTACATATGGGTTTTTCATAGACCTGCAATTAATTTTTGTCTACAGAGTGTGGAAGGAATCTAACTTGATTTCTGATTAGTGTTTTTTAACTGAAGAATAGTATATCGTGTCATCGGGGCTGGTGAGTGGTGGTGGGGCACAGTTGCTAAAATATCATCATATGTATACAAACCTTCATCAATTTCTCATGTATTTGTTTTTAATGTTTTAGAGAAGAAATTAGAAAATGAACAATATCAAGACTTTCTCAGGACTGTACTCTGTGCACGTACAGGTGTTCATGTGAGTGTATGTGTGTACATTTATGTGTATTTGCCTATACATGCATGCATGTGTTTATGTGTGCTATTTTATGTGTTGGAGAAGGAGGAGTGGTGAGGATAGTAATATGGGGGTGGGGGAGAATCAGCTGGTCTAAAAACCAAGTTTTAAATCAAATGCTGTTTTTCTTGCCATTTTTGAATGAGTGGGACCCAGAGGTTCTTGGCTTTTTCAAACTCGAGCATTAAGAATGCTTTATAAATAGCTTGGGTAATAGTGGTTGTCCTGGGGACCAAATACTATGAGGTACCTGTCCTCACTTTCAAAAACTCCCTTAAAGCCAAAGACTCACCTGTTAGCTGAGTGTGCCCTTAGGACTTCTAAGAGGCCCACTAGAGGGAAGGCATTTGGAAAACCAGGAGGTGACAGTGTCATGGAAGAAGGCCTCTGTCCCAAGGCCTTGTCTTACAAGCACCACTGAGTCCTCCCCAAATTGCCCCAGCACCTCTCCAGCAGAGACAGCTGTACACAGCACTTGACTCCTGCATCAAGTAATCCCCAGTGAAATTGCCTCCCTTGTATGGAGGACAGCTGGAACGGGTCCCTCATTCCTCTAGGGAGTGTTTAAAAAAGGATTTGGCCCAGGCGAAGCTCAAGAATAGGAATAAGCTATTCCTGGCACTTGGACAGGGAAAGGGTTGCAGAACCACAATTCACATGTGCCAACTGCATTGTAGTTCCATATTTATTATTTCATGTAATTCTCATAAGAATCCCAGGAGGTGGGCATTATCATTCCTATCTTGAAGATGAGGAAACTGAGGATTAGCACAGGTAAGCAATGCAAAGCTGCGTGGTTAATTAGCACATGGTTGACTAGTGAGCGAGTTCAGCTCTAACTCCAAAGCTCAGGCTCCTCCCCTGAATCTGGCTGCCTTCTTGCCCAGCTGGTTTGGAGGATACTGTGTGCACTGGGCTTGGCAAGAGCAGAGCATGCTCAGCAGATGCTCTCTTACAGCTTCTCGACATTTTCTCTGCTTTGCTACCTCTGGGGCCCTCATTTCTTTCACCATCTGAAGCACTGCAGAAGGGGCTAATCATCTTGTCCCCTAAATTATTTCCCTTTGAACTTCTGCCTCCACCCCGAACATTTTCTCAGAAATTCCCCTCACTTCCTTTGCTGGCGCCTAGAATCCTTAGTCTACAGAGGAAATCTGACTTCTGTTCATTCCCGTTAAATAAAGTGTTCCACAATTCACACCGGGCTGAGGTTTCTTTGTTCTGCTGTAGTTTCTGACACATTAGCTAATTGGGAGAGAGGCCAAAAGAGGGGTGGGGTGGGGGGGGTTCCTCTGCAAGTTAACAAGCAGAATTATTCTAACATTAAAGTATATTTTAAAAAAACAACAAAAGATGTGTATGCAAATGCACTTGTGCTTTTGAGGTCCTATCACATGGCTTAGTACATCATATGCTACACTGCAGTGTCATTTGATTCTCTGACAATTCCCATATGCACTCCAGACTTTGGGAGGAAGCCGGGATCTGGGCCTTGACCTCTGTGGGCTCAGCCTTCTGCTGAGAGCCTAAGAGGGCCTCTATCCTGCCAAGGAAATAGTGAAGCTGAAGCAATGCCTCTTAGAGCAGCACCAAAGAACTTGATCTTGATATTCTGGTCTCAGAAAGACCCTTGAACTAAGGAAGAAGCACGCATAAAAACTTCTGAGATGACTGGGGGAAAAGGACAATTATTTGTCTCTTGTGTTTGGAAACCATTGACCTTCCCTCCCTTAGTTATATTCTTCTCCACATGAACTCTGACTTCTGTTTTGAAGGGGGGAGACCTGGCAGGGCCGGAGGGCAGGATACCCGCAGGAGAGAGGTGTGTTTAGCAAGCCCTACCTCGGACTATGCCCAGCCCAGTAAAAACAGCAGTGTGCATCCCTCATCTACTGCTGCATCAGGTTCAGTGTCAACAGCTCTGTTTTTGCCTTTAATCTTGACAGCTAACATGAGGAGATAGCTACTATTAGCCCATTTTGCAAATGAAGAAACAGGCTGAGAAGGCAGATAACCTTGCTCAAGGTCACATAATTGGTGCAGGGTCAAGGATAACACCCAGGTCTGCCTGACCCATTTCTTCAACAACAGTAAGTTGACGTGCCAGCAACGCAGTCGTGAATACCACAAGCAATAGAAAAGTCCTTCCCATTGTCTGTGCTCTCATTTGAAGCTTTGTATTTGGCGTCCAAACCACTTATTAGGATTTCTATACATAAAGGCATACTTTGGATTATGATAGGCTTTATACCCTTTCCTTGTAAGGTGGGAACAGGGAAATAGAATAAGGGAAACATCTGGTTGGTTAACATCAGGTTACTGCAGGCTACTTGTAAAAGTGAAAGGCAGAGAGAACTTCCTTATCATGCCCTTTGGTACTGGCCTGTTTGGGATAA